GAGTTATTTTTTTTGTGAATTTCTCGCTGGCAACGTTGTGACTTACAGCTGGCTGGGAGATAAGAACTGATATATTTCTCCCAGGAACCCGTCGGCTCCTCCTGGTAGTAGTCGAAGAATTGGACTGTAGAGTGCAAGCAATATATCCGTGCAACACTAAATTAAAATAGTGAAATTTAGTAAAATTTAGTGAAAAATAGTCGAAGCGTAAATGTACTAAATTTAGTGTGCACGTGCAATTTAATTGAGGATAAACGAATAATATGTGGATTGATCATGGCTATTCTCTGATCGTGGAATAGAATGAGTGATCTAGAAAATGCTTACTTACCTAATCAACATTTGGAGTCACGTGACACAAYTCAACACAGTCGTCCAGGCCATGAATCGATTAGCTTAAGGTCAAACCGATTGAACACGGACCACAAACACAACGAAAGAAACTACTAGAAGAACCAAAATTCAAAAAAACTTTATATAAATTGCTTTTACATTCAACAACTAATTTGAACCTATTTCTATAATGATTATCAAGCAAATTCTAAATTCAATGTATTCTACTCTTTATGTATCTGATCGCTAATTATCTTTGAGGAGTCCACTATGGACCAGATAATTGCAGCAATTCATTTATCAAAATCGTTAAAAATATCAAGTAGCACAAACCAAGATAACAAAACGTTTAGAAATTCTGTACAAAATACAAACGATTTCAAACACCTATAAATACTCTTTATAAATAAATACAGTTCATAAATTTAGTCTAGACACAACCATACTCTAACCACTGATGGGTGCCCTTGCCACGTAAAGGCGTTCGAGACCCTGACTTTGACTTTGACCTTCCTTCGGATCCACTTTCCTCATGAGAACCAGTGGAAACAACAGACGCTGAATCCTTAGTGTCCTCGTCATGAGATTGTTGAGCAGTGTCTAACRAACCAGAAGCCTTCGGCGACTGGTGATTGTCTATATTRCTCGARTTGGGAACGGCTTGAGGTTGTCTGTCGCTTCGAGAAAGCTCCGAAGATAAATCTCTTGAACGACGTGGGTCATCGGATAGCGATCTCTGCCGTACCAAAACCGCTGCAAATAGAGTGTCCGAAGTCTTGACWGATTTTTTAGTTCTACCCTGAGATTCTTCCATRCTTTTCGACCGTGAATTATACCGCGGCATGCTATTCATTCGTCGTAAGGGTGACTCATGGAGTAACTCGACGGGTTTGAAGAAAGTCGAAATTACAGTATGGCCCTCGTCTTTTGCTTGATCAGATGGGTTTGTAGCGACTGGGACAGCACTGACCGTTGACTGTGTAGCATCGATAAGAATCTCAGGCTCGCCDTCAATAGAAGAATCCTGTTTTTTGATCGGACTTCCAACGTCCATCGATAATGGTTCCGTCCTGTGAAATTGAGGAGTTGATTGGTTGCTCCTAGGTCTCTGTTCTTCTCTTGGACTTGTTCCTTTGTCAAATGAGCTAGAATTCCTTTTATATGGAGGTAAGTCCTCCCGCGGAGTTCCTGATTTGCTTCTAATGCTCGGAGTTCTCTTAAAACCTTGGGACCTTGCAGCTTCTGGGTATGGTGGAGGCCTTCGTTCAGACGATTGGATTGAAGTTTCCTCCTGTTGTGTCTCATCCATTGGTTTTTGGTAAGGAGGAGGAGGTCCTCTGCTTGATCGCCTTGCTTGAGGTGATTGTGTGACATCATCGCTTTTATTATGCCTGAA